GATGCTTGTCCCGATGCTTGTCCCGATGATTGTTTCGATGGTTGTTCCGATGGTTGCCCCGATGGTTGTGCCGATGTTTTTCCCGATGCTTGTCCCGACGGTTGTCCCGATGGTTGTCCCGATAATTGTCCCGGTGGTTGTCCCGATGGTTGTCCCAGTGGTTGTCCCGATGGTTGTCCCAAGGGATAGTGGTTGTCCCGATGGTTGTCCTGGTGGTCGTCCCGATGGTTGTCCCGGTGGTTATCCCGATTGTTGTCCCGATGGTTGTCCCTATGGATACTGGTTGTCCCGATGGTTATCTTGGTGGTTGTCCCGATGGTTGTCCCGATGGTTGTCCCGATGGTTGTCCCGATGGTTGTCCCGATGGTTATTCCGATGGTTGTCCCAATGGTTGTCCCGATGGTTGTTCCGAAGGTTGCCCCGATGGTTGTCCCGATGTTTGTCCCGATGGTTGGCCCGATGGTTGTCCCGATGGTTGTCCCGACGGTTGTCCCCGTGGTTGTCCCGCGGGTTGTCCTGATGTTCATCCCGATGGTTGCCCCGATGGATAGTGGTTGTCCCAATGGTTGTCCCGATGGTTGCCCCGATGGTTGTCCCGATGGTTGTCCCAATGGTTGTCACGATGGTTGTCCCGATGCTTGTCCCGATGCTTGTCCCGATGATTGTTTCGATGGTTGTTCCGATGGTTGCCCCGATGGTTGTGCCGATGTTTTTCCCGATGGTTGTCCCGATGGTTGTCCCGATGGTTGTTTCGATGGTTGTCCCGATGGTTGTCCCGATGTTTGTCCCGATGGTTGTCCCGATGCTTGTCTCGATGGATCGTGGTTGTCCCGATGGTTTGTCCCGGTGGTTGTCCCGATGGCTGTCCAGGTGGTTGTCCCGATGGTTGTTCCGATGGTTGTTCCGATGGTTGTCCCGATGGAAACTGGTTGTCCCGATGGTCATCCTGGTGGTTGCCCCGATGGTTCTCCCGATGGTTGTCCCGATGGTTGTCACGATGCTTGTCCCGATGCTTGTCCCGATGCTTGTCCCGATGCTTGTTCCTATGGTTGCCCCGATGGTTGTCCCGATGATTGTCCCGATGCTTGTCCCGATGCTTGTCCCGATGGTTGTCCCAGTGGTTGTCCCGGTGGTGATCGCGCGGGTTGTCCCGATGGTTGTCCCGATGGTTGTCCCGATAGATAGTGGTTGTTCCGATGGTTGTCCTGGTGGTTGTCCCGATGGTTGTCCCGGTGGTTGCCCTAATGGTTGTCCCGATGCTTGTCCCGATTTTATCCCCATGGGTAGTGGTTGTCCCGATGGTTATCCTGGTGGTTGTCCCGATAGTTGTCCCGATGGTTTTCCTGATGCTTGTCCCGATGCTTGTCCCGATGGTTGTCCCGATGGTTGTCCCCATGGCTGTCCCGATGGTTGTCCCAGTGGTTTTCCCGATGGTTGTCCCGATGCTTGTCCCGATGGTCATCCTGGTGCTTGTCCCGATGGTTGGCCCGATGGTTGTACCCATGGTTGTTCCGATGGTTGCCCCGATGGTTGTCCCGATGGTTGTCCAGGTGGTTGTCCCGATGGTTGTCCCGATGCTTGTCCCGATGGATAGTGGTTGTCCCTATGGTTATCCTGGTGGTTGTCCCGATGTTCATCCCGATGGTTGTCCCGATGGTTGTCCCGATGGTTGTCCCGATGCTTGTCCCGATGCTTGTCCCGATGCTTGTCCCGATGGTTGTTCCGATGGTTGCCCCGATGGTTGTGCCGATGCTTGTCCCGATGGTTGTCCCGATGCTTGTCCCGATGTTTGTCCCGATGGTTGTCCCGGTGGTTGTCCCGATGCTTGTCCCGATGGTTGTTCCGATGGTTGCCCCGATGGTTGTCCCGATGTTTGTCCCGATGGTTTGTCCCGATGGTTGTCCCGATGGTTGTCCCGATGGTTGTCCCGATGGTTGTCCGGGTGGTTGTCCCGATGGTAGTCCCGATGGTTGCCCCGATGGTTGTCCCGATGGTTGTCCCGATGCTTGTCCCGATGCTTGTCCCGATGGTTGTCCCGGTGGTTGTCCCGATTGTTGTCCCGATGGTTGTGCCGAGGGTTGTTCCGATGGATAGTGGTTGTGAAGAAATCCCCCTCCGTCGGACTAGCTGTGGATAGGTATGTAGGTAGATGGATGTAGTAGTGCGGCATAGCAGTAGATAGCAGTATAATGCAGGAGAGAGCAGGGTAGTGTTGCATTGATTCATTGCTTATCTTCCACAGCCCCTTTCGGCGAAAAAGCATTTTCATGGTAGCGAGTGTAGGCGGCTCGCACGCGCCTGGCGGCGCGCGATGAATGCCTAGCAAGAGAGGCACCAGAGGAGCCTCCCGACGCCGCGACCGCGAGGTGGGCGGCCACCACCGCCGCTCGCTGGGCGGCGCACCTGGGCTTCGGCTGGCTGCGGGTAGCTCCGCGCCGAGCCGTGGTCCGGAGAGGGAGGAGCCGGCGGCGGAAGCGGGCAGCCCCGCTCCGCGCCCAGTGCTCCTCAAGGCACGGTCGAAGGCTGCGGGTAGACCCGCGCCTTCCCGTGAGCAGGCCGGGCACCGCGGCCCGGAAGAACCTCCGGCGCGGCGCAGGAGGCGCCGGCGCGGGAGGCAAGAGGAGGCTGAGGAGGCTGAGGGATCGCCAGACGACCCACCAGCCGCACTTGAGGCGAGGGAGAAGGGCTTCCTCGAGGTGAAGATCGAGCAGATCTTCTTTCGCCGTAGGAACGTGTCGCCGGGTGGCGTGCGTCCACGAACAGAAGGAGGGGACGCGCGAAGTCCGTCGGAGGCGGCTAGGCAGCCGGAGACGGTCGGGAAGCGCGCCGGGGCCAACCAAGAGCCCCCACAGCATCGCTCGGCAGCGGGGAGCTCCGCGCTGAGGGAGGTGAAGCAGGAAAGGGGCGAGAGCCATGGAGCAGCAGCTTCAGCAACTGGCAGCGGAGCTCAGGCAGCTCCGGCAGGAGAGCGCGCAGCTGGCAGACACGGTGAGGGTGCAGCAGCAGACGCTGGAGGCGATCCAGCAGCGCCCCGCCGCAGGACCAGGAGGAGGCGCGGCAGCAGCAGCAGCAGCAGCGGGAGCACTTTCCAATGAGGTCGTGGAGAGACTCATTCGTGCTCTTGACGAGCAGACGCGCACCTTCGCTGCCAGGAGCCGGCCGAGCCTGGTTGACAGCAAGGGCGTCGGCAGACCAGCTGCTTTCAACAACGACGAATCTCGATTCCCAGAGTGGGCCAAGAAGACAGAGGACTATCTTCTTGGAGTCGAGCCGGCCTTGGAACAGGCCCTTGAGTGGGCGCTCGACCAGGACGAGGAGATCACAGCACAGCGGGTGCTGGAATCTTTCGGACCAGGGAGCGATCATGTCATAGACGGCGTCGTTGGACTCAACTTGCAGGTGAAGACGGTCTTGAGCAACCTCACAGAAGGTGAAGGTTGGACCATCGTACAGAACGCTGACAAGAACGGCCTAGAGGCGTGGAGGCGCCTGCACAGACGCTTCGACTCCCTGACCGGGGGTCGGCGCAGGAGCCTCTTACGAGCCATCCTGGCGCCGACCAGAGTCAAGATGGACGAGCTCGGCTCGGCCTTGCAGACCTGGGAGGAGATGGTGAGCCGTTACAACAAGAAGTCGTTGAAGCTTGGCGAACCGGCCATTGCTGACGACTTTTTGTGCTCAGCGTTGGAAGCCCTAGTGCCATCAGACGATTTGGAGAAGCACCTACAACTGAACGCATCACGCCTCAAGAAGTACAACGACATGAGGCAAGAGGTGATGACGCACTACGAAACACGCACGGGCAAGCTGATCAAGGTGACGCTGAGGGACCGCATGCCGCAGGCAGGAGGTCCAGGTCCAACCCCCATGGACGTTGACGCCGGATCGCTTGCGAAGGGCGGAAAAGGAAAAGGCAAGGGCAGCGCAGGCAAGGACGCGAAAGGAAGAGGCAAGGGAAAGCAGCAGCACCAGCCGCAGCAGCACCAGCCGCAGCACGGACAGCAGAAGTTCGAGGGCTACTGCGACAACTGCGGCAAGTACGGCCACAAGAAGAAGGACTGCTGGGCGCCCCCGCAGACAGGAGGAGGAAAAGGAAAGAGCAAGAAGAGCGGCAAGGGCAGCAGCAGGAAAGGGAAAGGAGCAGGAGCGCTAGACGAAGGAGGAGGAGAGGGAGAGAAGGAGCCAGAAGGAGAACAGGGAGGATTGAATATGGATGCCATCGAGATCGCTGCCGCGAGCACGACCGACGGTTCCGAGTATGTCCGTTTCAACCTGGACAGCGGGGCTGCAGCGACGGCCTACCCTAGGGAGTGGTTCGCGGGTAGCTCCGCACCGATTCCCTCTCCAGATCACTCTGGATACATAACGGCGTCCGGAGAGCGCATCCAGGACTACGGAGGCGTTCGTCTGCGCTGCAAGGACGAGAACGATGCCCGAAGGTGCGTCACTGGTAGGAGGAGCGACGTGCGCAAGATATTGGCATCAGCGTCCCAAGTGCGCGAGAAGGGACGCCAGCTGATATGGTTAAGCGCAGACGGGGGGTACGTGATCCCCAAGGACGGCCGCATCGGGAAGATGCTGCAGAAGGAGCTCGATCGCCTGGTGAGGCGTTTCGGCGACGACTCGCTCCTGCCAGTGCACCGAGAGAGGGGCGTCTACAACTTCTACATGAAGGTGGAGCGCGCGGAAGACATCGCGCCGCATGGCCTATCGCCGGGTTTCCGGCGGCAGGGCCAGTGCCCGTAAGGCCGTTGGAGGGTGAGCCGGATGCGGGTGGCTCCGCCCCGGCCCCGGACGCGGGCAGCCCCGCTCCGGAACCCCCATTGCTTCGAGAAGGCGTCGGGGAGGAAGCACCGGATGTGAAAATCCGGACAGGGCCTCGAGCGCCGAGTGCGCAAGAGGTGGATGAGCACTACGGTATGGGACATGCTCAGTTCAGGTCTTGGCGCCGCCACTGCCAGGCAGCACGGGGCATCGGCGAACAGCACCGAGCCCGACAGGAGGACCCGGAAACAGCTGATCCTGTTGTGTGCTCTGACTACGGCTACCTGGCCGACGACGGCAGTGAGGACACAGCGTTGCCGATGCTGGTGATAAGGGATCGCCGTACCAAGGGGTATGCGGCGACGGCAGTGCCCCAGAAGGGAGTGCACCCGTACCCTGTCAAGTTCTTCGCGGGCTACTTGAAGGAGCTCGGTTGGAAGAGGTACGTGAGCCGGTCAGACGGCGAACGCAGCCTTGTAGCCTTGAAGCAGGCCGTGGCTGACCAGATGCAGGCAGTAGAGACTGTCATGCAGGAGTCTCCTGTAGGAGACCACGCAGCGAATGGTGAGGCTGAGAACGCGGTCAAGGAGGTGAAACGCATTGTGCGTGCGCAGAAGGAGACGTTCGAGGAGAGGATCGGTACGCGGCTACCGCTGCACCATCCGATTTGGACGCGGCTGCCACGACATGCTGCTGCGTGTCTCAGTAGATACCGCATCGGCGAGGACGGGAGGTCCGCCGAGCAAAGGCGCACAGGAAGGCGCTGGGCAAAGTCGGCGTTGGAATTCGGCGAACGGATTCACGTGAGGCTCGCGCAGGAGGAGCCGCGGAGCGGCATGACTCCTAAAATGATAGAGGGGTGGTACGTCGGCCACCAGACGCGGACTGGCAGTCTGCTGGCGATGACCACCAAGGGGGTTTGCGAGGCAAGACCTACAATAAGATGACGGCGGAGGAACGCTGGAAACCCGCTGGGCTAGACCAGGCGCGTGGGACGCCTTGGGAAATGGAGCCCCCGGATGCGGTTAGCCCCGCTCCAGGGAGGCCCTTGCTGGCAGGCCGGGAGGCTGCCGGGTCGGCAAATCCGCCACTTCCCCCTCAACCTGTAGCAGGAGGACGAGGAGGAGTAGGAGGAGGCGGAGGAGGAGTGCCAGGACCCAGGAAGCTCTACGTACTGAAGGCGGACGTGGAGCGATTCGGAGGGACACCGTTGTGTCCAGCGTGTCTGAACATCATGCGTGGCCTGCCGGCAGGGCGCGCGCACACAGCAGAGTGCTCTCAGCGGATGGCTAGCATGATGGGGGAGGACGACGTGGGCCGGCGTAGGCTGGACGCGCGCAGGGCGAAACGAGCCCGAGTAAAGGAACAGGAGCCTGCGGGAGGCTCCGCGGCTTCAGCGGCAGGCGCGCCACCCATGCCGCCGGCGGCAGCACAGGCGCCGCCACCGCCCGGCGACGAGCGGCCTCGCGGAAGGCCGGTTGCCGTCGCAACGGGCCAGGGGCTCGACGAGAGGTCGAGGAGCAGGTCGGCTGAAGGAGCTGGCCGGAGAACAGCAGACGACGACATGGAGGTGTCGTTGCCAGAAGGTGCAGCGGAAGCGGGTGGCTCCGCTCCGGCTGCGTCGTCAGGGTCTGGAGGCCCGGCTCCAGCGACAGGGGCCAGTGCTGCGTCTGCGGAGGTAGGCGCCGCGGCTGCGGGAGGCTCCGCGCCGGCGGCGACAGGAGGAGGAGACGTAGACATGAGCAGCATGACGACGATGACGATGAAGGAGGAGTTGAGGAGCCTGTATCGGAGGAGCATCGTTTCCGCGTGTCGCCGGAACGAGGTTGACCTCTCGGCGGAGGAGCTGGAGGATATCACCCATCTAGGCTTGCAGCTGGGAGCCGTGGATGTCCGTGAAGAGTGCCCGCTTCTGTGCCATGTTGCGCTTTCGTGCCACTTGGGCCTGAGACCTGGGGCGAGCGCAGACATGCAGGCAAAGAGACCGAATGGGGGGCACTGGGACTTCAGGAATGAGGAGGACAGGAAGGAGTGGTACGACACGCTGGAGCGCGAGGATCCGTACATCCTCATCGGATCACCTCCTTCCACGGCGCTTGCAGAGCTACAGGGTGCATCCCGGCTCAGGCGGGACCCGGAGAAGGCCCTTCAAGAGCAATATCTTGCAGAACGTCATCTTGAGGTGGCTTGTGAGAGCTATCGGAGGCAGATGGTTCGGGGCAGGTACTTCGTGCACGAGCACCCCCACGAAGACAGCAGCTGGGACTCGACTGTCGTCCAGGAGCTGCTGGGGCAGAACGCCGTGGAAAGGGTCAGAGGAGCCGTGTGCAAGTGGAGCGCAAAGCCTGCGGGCCAAGGAGAGCCCCCTTCAGGCGCGCAAGGGTTCATCCGGAGGCGAGCCGGATTTATGACCAACATGCCCGAGCTTGCGCTGGAGCTCAAAAAGGGGTGCTCTGACGACGCGGGGCCGGAGCAGCACCGGCACGTGCCACTGACAGGCGGCTTGGCCCGCAGGGCACAAGTGCATCCTCCGATGCTGGCGCGATGTGTCCTACGAGCAGTAAATGAGTCCATGAAGAAAGATGGATCCCTCTCTGGCCTGGCGGAGGCTACGGCTGGCCCGGCACCTACAGAGCCCGACACCTACGAGCAGGGCAGATCGTTCTTGGAGGAGCACGAGAGGTACTGGGACGACGTCAACGGAGGTTGGCTGGACCCCGCCATGGTGAGGAAGGCTAGGGAGGAGGAGGTAGGATGGCTCCGCCGACAGGAGGTGCACGAGAAGAGGACTCTTAAGGAGTGCCTGGAGGTGACAGGTGCGAAGCCTATCCGTTTGATGTGGCTCGACACCAACAAGGGCGACAACGAGCGACCGAACTACCGGCCCCGTATTGTCGTGCGCGAGAAGCGCGGTCAAGGAGAAGAAGGGCGCAAGTTGCCTGCAGCGTTGTTGTTTTCAGCAATGCCGCCTCTGGAAGCAGTAAAGATGCTAGGAGGCCTGATGGTGCAGAACAGGAGCAGCGAACGGGGTAAGCCTCTAGGGATGAGATTCTTCGCCATCTCACGTGCCAATTTCTACGGCCTGGCCGAGAGGACGGTGTACGTGGAGCTGCCAGAGGAGGAGCAGGACGGCGTTCACTGTGCACTCTTGAAGAAGAGCATGTACGGCACCCAGGACGCGTCTGCCATCTGGCAGCGAGACTACACAGCAGTGCTCAAGCAGGACGGGCACGAGGCAGGGAAGGCGAACCCGGCCCTGTTCTACAAGAAGGCCGACGACTGTCGGTCTTTAGTGCACGGAGACGACGTCTGCGCCATGGGCGACGACGACGCCCTGGACCAGATCGAGCACACTTTGCGGAAGAAATACGACTTGAAGGCGACAGGTCGTTTCACGCTCGGTTCTGGAGAGGAGCAGGAGGTTGTTTTCTTAAACAGGATTTTACGTGTCACAGGAAGCCCAGGAGAGGAGCGCTTCGAGGTCGAAGCAGATCCGCGGCACGCAGAGATGATAGTTCGCGACATGGGTGGGTAGGCCCGCGCCTCCGGTTAAGCGCACTTCCCCTCCGAGGGGAGTCTAACCAAAACAACTTCAAAACAACCAGAATGAGTTAGCTTAAACAACGATTTATGAGTTTAAAATATAACTTGTTTGTTTTCGAAATGTTTGCGTCGAAACGACCACGAACCGCGATACGAACATTGCCATGGTCCGTAGATGCAAACATATATACGCAATAAGAACTCAGCCTCAACGTATGGCGAATGCACCGCTAGTTGATGTGTGCGATTGCGCTTGCTTAATAAGAGTTGTTTGTTTGATGCGCCTTTGCCAACTGTTCCTTGCTTGCTTCATCGCGTTGCTTGTTTGCGCATTCTGCACCCAGCGCTCTGTGCCTCAAAACATCAAGCACAATGTGCTATGCGGGCCTCTTGAGAACCTTATGGGGCCGTGGGGCCGTCTTGGATTGTCTTGGGTGCACGTAGGGATTCGGGGGACGTCTTGGGGCAATCGCGGGCCGTCCCGGGTGTGTCGCGGGCCCAAATTGGAGGCAAGCTTCGGGCCATCGTGGACCATATTGGAGCCATCTTGGGTGGTCTTGGAGCAGTCGTGAGGTCTTTGGGGAACTTAGGTCATCCTCTCGCAACGCTGCTTCTGCCTCTGCTGCTCCCCCTGCTCCACCTCATAATCATGTTGGCCCATGTGTTTGAAAACGCGATTCGCTTCCCGTTCACTGTAGTTTCTGCTTGGTGTCATACCAACGCTCGACATCATATGGATGATGAGTTGGCAGGAGACGATGGCGGCCAAGACGCCATATCAGATATAGCTGGTGATCAAGAAATTCATGCCGACATCGCGGGCCATGACCCAGCGGACGCCCACATTCCCGCGAGACTTGGAACATTGGTTGCATATCCTGTTGTTGGCAGCCGATCAGGTTTGTGGGCCAGGGAATTCAGAATCCAACCGACTGAGTTTGATAGACAATGTACAATTTTCGGAATTGCTATTGCCAGATGGAGATTGGTTGCGCTGAGAGAAGCTGAATCATTGGACGAAGACATGACGGTCAACATAGTAGGATCGGCCTTGCAGAAACATCGGGTTGAATGCTGTGGTGTATTAGTTTACGAAGCTTTAGTAACAAACGAACTTGTCCTTCCAATTTCTTGCCCCGAAGACATAACAACACAACAGATAATGAACATTCTCAAAGACAAAAGATGCGTGCTCAGAAAAATACATGGTGAAGATCCCCCAGCCAAACCATGGGACGACATTTGGAGGCAAGTTTCTGCTGAATACGGTATGTTGCTAATCGGAGACGTGTTCAATCTGTGTCCAGCTCTTGCAATAGGATTGATGGGACTGCTTCAAAAAATATTCCATGTCGTAGTGCTTGGTAGACGCTGTCGCAAATACAATACACATTGGCCGTCGAGGCGTGTCTTGAATGCGTGGAGACGTGGCCATGGTTTCTCCGTCCCTGCTGTGCGGCCTCGGAGCAGGCACGACCGCAGCGGACGGCGACGTGGTATGGAGCCATCTCTCATTATCGATTGGATTGGCGCGACTGCGACGCAAAGAGCTTTGAGACACACTAAGAAGACAGCTAAAAGATGGGTCAAGTTGATTTCGAGGGTGACTGATGGAAATCGCAATGAGACTGAGCACAAACTGGGAGGAATTCGGTACGACACGTTGCGTCAAGCCCGAGTTCGATTAGATTGGACTTGCATGCGCCTCAATCAAGCGTATTTCAAAGATGCACGGTGGGACACACTGGACATATATATATATATATATATATTCATAGACGGGTCCCCTCAAGGACGTGGATGGGAGATGCAGGCCGTGACCATCAAGATACTTGAGCACGGAAGCGCCGAAGGATTGTTCACAAAAATGTTTCCTCCAATCCTGTTGAAACGCACTCAACTCTCTGCGATGTTCAAATGTTGTGGGTTGCTATGGCAACTCCATTTGATGTTCGGTGCTGACAATATGAGAACTCTGTTGGGCCGTGTACGAGCTATCATATCAGATATGGGTGTAGAGTCCAATATGGCACGAATGAGTGACTTACTTCCAGATTTCAATGTTTGCCTGGGCTTGCCGCCCGTTCAGATCGATTTGCTTGTCCGCACTGGTTGCAATAGATTACGATGGTTTCCGCTCTTCCTCAAGCGCATTAAGGGAATGACTTCACTATTTAGGGATGAGGCCACACCGCTGTTTCAACCAAGCGCACCCACGGGGGGGAGCAAAACTGGTGACACTGCGCCCAAAGATCAATTCGTTCCCCCACTGCTAAATCTACTTGGGGCCATCTTGAGCCGTCTTGAGGCCATCTTGAGCCGTCGTGAGGCCCTGTTGGACCCCCAAGATGCCCTTTGTCACGCCCAACAGTAGATTTGGCATGAGTTTGCGTTGGTCTGGCAAGCTGGTAAAAATCGATGCACTTTAGGCGTTGCTGGTTTTAAATCGAGTGTCAGCCCGCGCTTGATGTCAGAGGTTGCAGTGCCACCAGCCCCCCGACCCCCAATGGGCGAGCATGGAGGGATTGAGTGGAGGGGTGGGGGCAGGGACAGACAGAGGGAGGAGGGTGAGGGAGGGAGAGGAGGACTGGGGGAGAGCAATCGCCACGTCCCTGCTCGCGCTTGGTATGATACAGTCTTCCCTGAGGGTATCAAGCAAACCTTGTCCAGTAAGTGGAAACAGAGGGGGCTCCACGGTCTTGCAGATACCATGACGAAATCGTCAGTGCCGACATTCGCAGCATGGCGGTGGAACAAATTATACGTATGTCTGAGGGGTCTGGATTCGTTTGTCTGGTCTGCAGCTGCTCACTTCGATCGGAACGCTCTCGGGGAAGTTCGAGATAGGGTTTAGGCTCGACACAGTACTGGGCGCATTCAATTGTGTGACATTCCGACAAGAGTTCGCAGTAGTCATGTGGTTCACTAAGTGGCTGTACGGCATCCAGAAGTTCGCAGGCTATTGTCCCTGTCATCCAGAAAAGTGGGGTGCCGATGAATCGTCCGACTGCCCTAGGAAGGGGTGTTTGTTGGGTTTGGCGTACGATTTCGGATTGGACGCTTTCAAAAAGGGGCTCATGGAATCGAGATCGTGGGCTGCAGGCACTTTTGAATTCGATCACCTTCTGAATGATGCAAAGGGCATCGCCAGCAGCACATCTGCTCTTGGTGCCCTCAAGTTGCGATTTTTGGATGATGTGCCGTGCATCCTAGGTCGACTTCACCAGCCTGGGATTCGCGACAAGTGCATCGAACGTTTTAATGCTCATCCCAACGGCATGCACGATTCAACTACGCTTGCTGTTTTGGGACGTGACTCCCCGTTGCGAGGCGACGTTCTAGCGATGTCTGGGGGCGGGCTGGGGATGAGCGAACAGTTAGAAGCAGAAGTAAACTCGATCAAGTACGCGCCACTAGACGACACAGTGGCCGAAGGCCCGCATGCATTAGCACAAGATGTACACCGCAAAGCATACCGTGCAATATTTCCGTGGATAGCTAGTACCATGAGGTTGGAGGCAAGCTTGCACGATACCGAGGTGCTGCCAGGAACCATCGGCCAAGACCTTAATGATCACTGGTACAAGGCAACTTCAATTTTGCAGATATCACATCGCAAAAAAAAAACCAAGCTGCGAAGAAAAAGCGGTCATGGTGCGAAAACGTACATATTCTATTGAGCACTTCGACAATCTAGCATTCGGGATGGCTGATCTTGGGGGTGCTGGCGGTGGCCATCACGGGGGAGGCGGTGGTGGTGGGGGCCCACCTGGAGACGGACCCGACGATGGCCCTGGGGCTGACGGTGCAGACGATGATTTACCCGATGATCCAAAAGGGAATGATGAGGAGGACGACGACGATGGAGATGAAGGCGGGGCCGGTGGAAAGGACGACTTACCCAAAGGAGGCGGTGGCGGCATGGACAAACGGAGTGCTAGTTTAATAGGCGATTTTCTTTCAAAAACACTTACCCCTTATGCGTATTATTCTGTGCGACTGCCGCATGATGGAAGCGAAGACGAGGACGACACCATGTTTTTCCAGCTGTTAAGCTTAAAGATGAATGCAAAAAATCGCACCGACTGTTGCCCATGCGAGCTCATCCGAACCTGGGACGTTTACAGTACATATCCAAAAACTGGAGCCCTGGACAGGCGAAGGCAAACCAAACAGGACACACATAGACGCATACCCCCTCGAGGACCCAGGAGCCTTGGACTTGTTTGCACTGGTGGGCCTTTCAAGGATCTCCAGGCAGGGGCTTCGCGTATGGAAAGTGAAAGAAAGCGATATCGATGGATGCTCGAGGCTGTTTGACCCAGAGCATGTAGCACCATCGGGGAGTAAATTGTCCTGGCCAACTTTAAGCCTTTGGGACGAGTTGGAATTTCAAGGATGGGCGCCTCACAATGGTACCGTGCACTACGCAGACGCAGGCTCGGCATCAATGTATGATCGTGGACAGATTCGCGTCGGTAGGAGGTATTACTTTCTCTGCTTGTTATCATTGGACATGCTTTTCGAGCGAGGTGCTCGAGAGTTTCGCTCGGACGAGGCGGATGCGTTTTTACAAGTCTTGTTGAAGTACCCACACAAGGCAACAGCTGGTCAAAAGAAGGAGAAACACTTGGAACTTTTAAACAGCGGCGCCACTGATGGCATCGACGTGTCCCCTGCCCTCGACAAGTTACGAAAAAGGAAGCGTGCCCCTTCTGAGGAAGAGCTTGGAGGGGACGACGGGACCTGGAAACCACCAGACGAGGACATACACGGAGATATTGGGGGCCCCCCCAGTCCAGAGAAATCGGAAGATTCGGAATCTGAGCACGGCAGTTCTGCCGACAAGCCCGCCCCTGTAGAGCCAGACATTGGAGCAGGCGCCGCGCCTGCAGCCCCAGTGCACGACGCCCCATTCGAGCTCCCTCTTTTTATCGAAGGGCAACGTGCTACGATAGAGACTCATAGGCAGCCGAATGGCAACATTCACTCGGGTTTGCGAGTTGTTTGTTCAAATCCTAATCACGTTGATTGTAGGAAGTTCAGATCTAGAAATATCGGGGTTGACAGATGGGGCCCTCGCGCTCCCGAATTTTTCCTTGGCGCCTGGCTTCAATTAGGGCACGCTCCTGGCATCGACCACAAACATCAGCACAGGGCGCCGCAGCAAGCAGAGGTGGACGCCTATGCAGACGCACATAAGTTGCGAGTAAAAGTAACAGTAACCATCGCATCATATCGCCATCACGAACAAAGCATCAACAAAACATCAACAATCCATCCTCCCCCGTTCGGATCGGGTACGCATTCCTCCTCCGTCCTCCTCCTTCCTCCTGGTCATTCTCACCCTCCATTGGACCCGTCCCAGTGTCAGCAGCATCAGCAGTTTCCGTACGTAGTCATTCGTGTGTTCGAGCGTGTTTGGTTTCCGCTGACACAGATTTCGCGAACGGTAACTCCGAGGACGGATCAGACATGCCGCCCATCAGAGTCCTTGGACGAGGCCAACAATGGATACGGAGTCCCCCTTCAAGGGAAAAAAGTTGCGTGAGGACTTTGCTGCGCAAGTATCGTGTGGAAAAGATCAAAAACATGAATTTGGCAAAGCGCGTCAAAGAGATGAGGACAGTCATGCACCGTATCAAATCGCAGATCCAATCCGCGACTGACCGTGACTTTGCTACCGCCGAGCAGGGAGTTCGCGAGGCAATCATTGGCGGCGAAGTGTCAGATGATGAGGCGCACAGGTCTGAGCCAAGGGATGAGGGTTGAGGCAGCACGAGCTCAGCACGAGTAGAAGCTCGGCCACGAGGCCGGACTGAGACAGCGCGACGAGTCGCTCCGAGGACCGCTGCAAATCATCATCACCATCATCATCATCACCAGCATCACAGGGCTTACCGTTATCACAAACGTCAATTACGAGTGTGGACCAAACAGGAGGTTTGAAGTCTTGACGCTTCGCGTATCCCCACCCGCCCATCCAGGAACGACGCGCAGGCGCGTTGAGGTGATCAGAAAGCGCGGGAGCAAAGAAGGGGATCTCCGACCCGTGCGAAGGTGGGAGCGTGGAGAGGGATGATGCATAGGGCGATGAGGAAGAGAAGGAGGAGTAGGAGGAGAATGATGAGGACGAGAAGGGGGACCAGACCCCAGGGTAGAGGGTAGGGAGGGGGGGTTCTAGAAGAGGAAACGCCCTAGACCACCTACGCCCCGAGGGCTGGTGGGATTCAAGTAGATCTGTAGCCATATCTTGTCTCGAGTCTCGAGGCAGCCAGCTACCAGCAGCAGTGCAGCAGACATGCCAGACCCTAACGTAGCTACTCATTATGCTCGTTCTGTTTCTGCCGCAGATCGCGGGCGCGATCCCGATAACCTTGCAGAGATTGAGTTGTCTAAATACCCTGAGCTCAATATCAGATTGGAGGCGCTCCCAGCAGGATTCAAAAGGACAGACGTTATCAAGATACCCATCATGATTACGTTCGAGGGCAAGCCAATGGACACATCAACAGAGCCTCCCGAATTGCACGGAATGCAGCAGGGTGAGAGCAGTCAGCCTCCAGCAGAGAAAAAACAACGCATTGGGGAGGTCGAGGAGATCGTAGTAGAGTCGCAAGACGATGAGCCTGACGGAGCGGACGCCCAGTCCAGACTCGCAAGGACTCCCACGGTCTGGCAGCCAGGACACTCGCCGACGCAGGTGGCCGAGGACCAGCCAACGCAACCGCTCTTCGCAAACGACTACGGGGGCGACCAGCCTGACGTGGCCAAGAACGACGGGCAGGGCGAGCAGTGCGAGCAGGAGGGCCCCGAGGCCAAGCAGCAAAAAAACAATGCGGGCGACGCCTCCGAGATGACGAAACACTCTTTCCTCGACGTTGTCGAGCAATTTCAGCGTGGCGGCAGCAGCGCATCAGACACTTTAGTAGAGCATGATAGCGTAGTGCACCTGGGCGGTATCCCTGGCGGTGAGGGCCTACGCGGTGACTTCAGGGACCCCAAGGGCATCAAAAAGGTTGATCTCTTCGAAGATGGTACTCAGCAATACTAGAAGACGGGCCCTAGATTGTTGGATGTGATACTCATCCTGTGGTGCACGCTTAGATTGCAATACTCAGCCGAGGCACGGCGGAAAATACTGCGACTGGAGAAAACCATCAAATCACAGTCACACAGTATCCATACTATAATCGTTTTTTTTTGTAAGTGTGCATGCCCATTGAGATTCTAAGAGCTTTCGCCTCTCGCCAGCCAGTGTTTCAGGGGCTGCCACGGTCACGCTGGGCGGAGCCCACTGGCTCGCTCGAGCTGGCATGCTAAGCGAGCCCATCACGACCACCGCAACTACCACCATCGTCATAACCATAACCATCACCACGGTTGTCATTGGATCTGTCGTCTTATCATCGACACAATCACCCCTTACCCATCATCATCGTCATCATTACCGTCTCTGGCATATCAACATGCCCAATACCATCACTACAATCACCGTCATCACCACCATCACCACCATTATCATCATTATCATCATCTCGGGCTCCCATGCACAAGGCCGAAGATGGGGAACTCGGAGGGAATACGAGGCGAAGCAGCTGCGACCGCCCTCCAAACAACAAAAACGAACAGGGGGGTCAATTGGAATCCGTCGGACTGCATGGGAACAACGGGCAAATGGACTTGCGAGGAGCCTGGGCTTGCCACTGAGGCACTCTTGGCCCCCCTCTTGGGGCCCCTCTGAGGGCTTTCTCGGGACATCTTGTTGCTCCTATTGGGGCTCCCCTTGAGGCCTCATGGGCCCACTTGGGGCTCTATTGGGGGCTTCTTCGGCCCTTCTTGGATCCTCTCTTGGAGCTTTCTCGGGGCCCTCTTGGAGTCGTATTGGGGCCTGCTCAGGGGCATCTTGGAGTTTGTCATGGGGCCTATGGTGGTCCCCTTGGAGCTATCCGTCCTTCGGCTGACGCGGAGGTTGTTTGACCCCCCAGATTACCGCCCATCCAATAGTTTGTCCCCTCGACAGACGGAGCGTGGGTTAGTTTAGTACAATTTCTTTGTGTAGTGGGAATTAGTTTGCCCGCGCGGACCACGGAGGGCCACTTAGTTTGGTTGGCATGAATACATGACCAGCCAGAGTTCGCATAAGCAAAGCATAAGCAAAGCATAAGCAATGCATAAGCAACCCCCAGTTTGCATAAACAACCGCCCAGTTAGCATAAGCAATGCATAAGCAAAGCATAAGCAATGCATAAGCAACCCCAGTTTGCATAAACAACCGCCCAGTTAGCATAAGCAATGCATAAGCAAAGCATAAGCAATGCATAAGCAACCCCCCAGTTAGCATAAGCAACTCTCAGTTAGCATAAGAAATGCATAAACCCCCCTTGAGTTAGCATAAGCAACCCACAGTTAGCATAAGCAAAGCATAAGCAAAGCATAAGCAATGCATAAGCAACTGGCCACAGAGTACAAATCAACCCATGTTGTGTTAGCAAAACATAAGCTACCCTACGCCTCCTCTGCATTACCTACGACTCCTTCGGATGCCTCCCTGATTCCCCGCGCTCACTTTGAATCCTTTACGGTGCCTCTGCATCCCTTACCATTGAATGGGTTCTCTACGATCCCGTGCGGTTCCCCACGCTTGGAGTCCTACGATGCCCTCGCATTCCTTACGATTGGATGGGTCCCCTACGATTTCATACGCTTTTCGGCGGCTCCTACATGTCCGATGGTTCCTCTGGGTTACTCGGGATTCCCCCAAAGCACCAGACCCCCTAAGACTCCGTAAGATTCCTTGGCGTTCCGAGGGGGTGGAACGTACGATTCCTTGGCGTCCCAGATTCCCCGGGACCCCCCCAGGCCCCCTAGGACTCCGTAAGTTTCCTGGGCGTCCCGAGGGGGTGGAACGTAAGAGTCCTCTACGCCCAGAGGGCTGGTGGGATGTGATTGCGCGCTTCGCTTAGGAGCTGATGCTTGCTTGCTTCGCTTAAGAAACTTGCAATGATAGGTTTTACACAATACCTGATGGTGTTCGGAGACCGTCTTGGGGCCCGCCTGCCCACCTCTTGGCGCCCCCAGGGAGCCCCCCCACCCCTTGCCGAAGCTTAGTCGCAGGTCTTCAGGCCGCGACGTTCTCCTCCTCATCCTCCTCCTCCTCCTGGTTCTGCCTCCGCGTTCGTTCGTCCTTCGTTGTTTTTTCCGAACCGACTTGAAAACCTTGCTCATCCTCCTCCTCCTCGTCCTCGCCCTCGTCATCCTCCGCCTCATCATAATCATCATCATCCTTCTCGAGCCTGCAGCACCAGCGACAGGAAGAGAGAGAGAGAGGGGGGAGTAAGAGTAAGAGTACGAGTAAGAGTAAGAGAGAGAGAGAGAGAGAGAGAGAGAGAGAGAGAGAGAGAGAGAGAGAGAGAGACATTGAGAGGGAGAGAGGGTACGAGGAACGGATGTCTTAGGGGCCGTGGTCTGGGAATGGTTTAGGGAACGTGCGTTAAGGATGGTTTAGGGGCCGTGCTTTAGGGATGTGTTGGGGGCATTGCGTTAGGGATGTCTTAGGGGCCGTGCGTTAGGGATGTTGTAGGGGCCGTGCTTTAGGGATGTTGTGGGGGCAATGATTTAGGGGTGTTTTAGGGGCCGTGCTTTAAGGATGTGTTAGGGGCAGTGCTTTAGGGATGGTTTAAAGGCCGTGCTTTAGGGATGGTTTAGGGGCCGTGCTTTAAGGATGTGTTGGGGGGGCGTGCTTCATGGATGCTTTAGGGGCCGTGCTTTAGGGATGGTTTAGGGGCCGTGTTTTAGGGATGCTGTAGGGACCGTGCTTTAGTGATGGTTTAGGGACCGTGCTTCAGGGATGGTTTGTGGGCCGTGCGGTAGGGATGGTTTAGGGACCGTGTTTTGGGGATGTGTTTGGGGTCGTGCTTTAGTGATGTTTAGGGGCAGTGCTTTAGGGATGATTTAGGGGCCGTGTGTTAGGGATGGTTTTTAAGGGCAGTGCTTGCAAGACAACAACTTTGAGGAACGCAGCTGTGTCAAGACAGCCTCCAGGAGGTTGTCTTGACACGGCTGCGTTCCTCAAAGCTGCTGTCCTTGAAAGGACAGGAGCCCTGGCTGGTACTTCACAGCCCAGAGGGGCATCATGGGACCTCGTGGGGCCCCCCCGAGCCCAGCCGAAACCAGCATGAAAATGGTATAAACCATGATCCAGAACCATGTGTGGTTATGCAACTTTTATGCTGCTCGTGGGGCCCTCTTGGGGCCATCGGCCCTCTTGGGGCCCTCTTGTGCCCTTTTTGAAGCCCTCTTGGGCCCTCCTGGGACCTCCTGGGGCCATCTCGGGTGCCTCCTGTGACCTCTTGGGTGCCTCCCGAACCCACCAAGAACTTGCATAACAATGGACATAAACCAGGATCCGTCATCATGTGTGGTTCTGCCACTTTTATGCCGCTCTTGGGGCCCTCCTGGGGCCCTCTTAAGGCCCTCTTGGGGCCTTTTTGGGGCCCTCCTGGCCCATCCTGGGACCCCCTTGGAGGCCTCCTGGGAGCTCGTGGAGGCTTCCCGAGGCCACCCAACACCTGCATAAACGTGGCATAGAAGCCAGGATCCAACATCAGGTGTGGTTATGCAACTGGCATGCCTCTAGTGCCCCCCCCCCCCCCCCCCCCCCCCCCCCCCCCCCCCCCCCCCCCCCCCCCGCCCCCCTCCCCCCCCCTCCACCCCCCCTCCCCCACCCCTCGGATCCACCTTCCCCTCCACCCCCTCGGATGGGCGTCGTTCCTGGATGGGCTGGCGGGGATGCGCGAAGCGTCAAGACTTGTATATCAAGCATCAGCTCCGAAGCGAAGCAAGCGCAATCAACGTAAACATAGCTACGACTACAGCACGGGCATGAGCAGCAGTAGCACAGAAACATAACCATAGCAGGCATGGTCATCGTACACATACCAACGTAAACATTGCAATCAAAACCAGCACACACATCGCAAGCATAAGCGGTACCAGCGTACCAACATAAGCACACCAACCTAAGCAATATAACCGTGTGCTGCGAAGATAACTCGATAATCACCCTGGAGACTTGGCCGCGAAGGTAACTCGATAAACACATCTAAGCGCCAACATATGGGGGCTAATGCATGTCTCGGAGGCTACGCCATCATATACCCTCACGGGTTACCAACATGGCTCCCATGTGGCGCTGGGGCCCTAACACCATGTCCCCTTCTCCTCAATCCTTTAGTCCTTTGGCACTACAATTTGAATCATACCTCCGTCCTCCCCTGCCCCCCCCCCATCCTCCCAAACATAGCAGACATGGTTGCTCTAACTTGACACTAGGGCCGTCCTCGGCTCATCATCGTGGCAGTTGTCCGCAGCGGTTTTCGGGCCGAGCCCACTTATCGAGATTCGCAGCTGACCTTTGTCAGCGCAGATCCAGCGAGTTTCGAACTGAACCTGAGTTAACTTCGACTACACTGCTTCTACGTGCTGCCGCAAGGTCCCACATGACCGATGATTGTGATATGGTTGGTGATTCTCCGAGCAAGGGCGGGTATGATATTCCGATGGGCGTTTGCGGGCTGTGCGACCTAAAGGATACTCTTGCGAACCTCTGCTGCGAGAAGAAGGGCATGAAACTTCATCAGCGGTGCTTCAACGCCATTCGGGCGCACGACGCCTCCGTGGAGAAGGGAGCCCCAGAACAGGTCAAAGACAAAATGGAAAACGAATTTCATAATGATCGCAAGGGATGGAAGACTCGAGTTCTGCCCTGGGTGGAGCCTGAAAAAAGAGATGCAGCTCGGACAGACACCAAGGCCAAGTTCATGAGCATACAGGACACCATCAGCAAGGAGACGAAGAAGGACCTGAATGACGATTTGACCCTCAACTTGGTTCAGTTCCAGGCCTTCCACGGTTTCTGGAACCGCATGTCCGACCCAGACAGCCTCAAATTGTTCTGGAAAACGCACAAAGAAAAAAAGGGATTGCCGACATCATGGAGAATGGCGAGAGGATTGCCCAGGTGAAGCAAACTGACATTGCGCGCACCAGGCACTCGAAAGGCGTTAGCACGGTCGATTCGATGGCCAAGATGACCCCCGTGGATGAGAACACCTTCGAGAGCAAGCGGAGGCGGCTAACTGGGAAACTAAATTTGCTGGTGCACAACACGAGACCTCGTCCTCAGCGGCGACGAGCAACGCTTTCAGTCCCAGCACGCTCCCATCTGGAACAGTTCTATCCTCCTCACCAAGGTCATCGGCGTGGGGGGGGACCCTCGATGCGCCTACTTTGGCATTGCGGGGTGATGGAACAACTGGCGATGAGGCTGCCACAGAGGACGACGACAAGAAATCTAACAAGTCAAGTGGCAGGCGCAGCATCGTGGACATCAACATCGACGACCAGACCAGGGGGCGCAAATTGCCAACCCAGTCTGAAATCAACGACTGCGATCCCGTGAGGTTCATGATGATGAAAACAATGTGGCGCAAAATGTCGGAACACGTGTCCAAAGGATTCCAAGACCCATCGACGGGCTACATCAAGCAGTTGAGGCAAGCATCAGAAGGAGTTTCTCAAACTCAGGAGCGGGGCCTACCATTGCCCACGGCGACCTTGATCACCAACCTGACTACTATGTATCAAGACCTCGACCAAGAGACTGATAAGGTCAAACCTGCTAACAAGGCTACATTCCTCAAGGTGGTCACAGACATCGACGAGAAGATGAAGAAGCTCGAAAACGAGAAGGGCTCGGTGAGGGACCAGCTCTCCGGCCTCAAATTCATCAATGACGAGTCGAAGGACAAGAACAGGAAGGAGTACATGAATCACTACAACAAGTCAGTTAACATCCAGAAGCGCTTGATTAAAGGCCAGTTCGCCAAGGAGGTAGCCAACACCTGGTCGAGGTCCCTGTACGCTGGCGTCGGGGAGGAGCAGAAGGCTGCGATGCTTGGTGGAGTAGCAGACGCCAGCCAGAAGGACAAGGCCAAGGGCGGGAGGAAGGTGAAGCCGCTGATGTTGCAATGCCAGCCCACATTGAATTCTGATCCTATTGACTTCGAGAAGGTCGGCACCTGGACAGATGGAGCTCTCTTCGGCGCTGTGAAGAAGTACATGGCTACGATCAAGGAGGTCATCGATTCCAAGATCGAGGGCGTCGTGCAGGCGTTTGATCAGAGGGGGCCCAATTGGATGGGATGCCTGGGCCGCCTCAACGTCTCGCCCCCAGAAGCACGCGCTCGATGTTCTTGGTGATGGCTACTTCGAACTGGGCGCGAAGGAGTGGGTGCCGCGGCTCTGCACAGTGAGGGCCGACGCGTTCAGGTGCGGACCGTCCGCATTCCCATTGAACGGGTACTCTAGCTTAGTGATCTCGCTCACCGATAACATGTGTTTTGTCCTACTTCCAGCTGCCAGCATCATCAACCAAGGCATCATCCTAGCCGACGCACCAAAGTTCTTGGCTTCTGATGGCGCTACGTCCACGTTGGAGCGTGGCTACTTGGTGAAGGCGAAGATTCAAGAGATCCTATACGTGCCCTACGGCGCCATCGTGCTACCACTCTTCTACCCGCAGAGCCGCGACAGCAACCAGAAGAACGAGCTGGGCCATTGCATGGTCTTGCCGCTGCTGCACCAGCAGCGCATGAAGGTCTACAGTTTAAAAGGGATTGGAAGAGAGAGGGAGGGAGGAAGAGAGAGGGAAAACATACATACCTATATATACGTAGGTCTACATATACATAGATGCGTGACTGTATACACATATGTATACTTATACATAGAACCGTATATCCAACAATCTAGATCTATAGAGGTGGAGGGGAAGGGAGTTCCAGACTGGGGAGGCCCCCGAGGGCCTCAGGAGGGCCTCAAAGGGCCCCAGAGGGCCAGGTACCAAAGGGCCACTAGAAAGCCAGGCACCAGAGGGCCTCAAAGGGCCCCCAAGGGCCATGCATCAGGGGGCCTCAGGAAGGCCCCCTGGTGCATGGCTGCGTTTCTGCAAGTAAAGGGGCGTCGAGGATCTCTCATCCCGTTCCTTCCTCCTCCTCCTCCTCCTCCTCCTCTTCCTTCGTCTCTTAACTCCTCCTACCCCCCCATCCTGCGTCTAACCTCCGTCATACCATATGTGTCCTCTTTCTCCTCCTCATTATATTCCTGGCCATGCCTACCTCCTCCATCCTGCCCCCGAGGCAGCGCCCACCTCGCTCACCACGGCTATTTCCAGCACCAACCTCAGCTTTCTGACCAGCCAGCCCCAGCAGATGCACAAGGATAGGGCCAGTGGGCTTCGCAAGTTTCACGCCGACTAAGCCCGCACAGCCCGCGCACACTAGTAGAGTAACACGGCAACAGCACCAGCCAGCAACACTCATAGTACAACACACTAGCAGCAATACGTAGCCAGCAGAGAGCAGCAGCAGCCAGCCATCACTAGTAGCTCACAGCTCAACACTTATGTTGGCAAGCTTTGTTTGAAGATTTCCCGTCGGACTGAGATCAGTCGCAGACGACGGCGCCAGTTGACGATGTCTGGTCAAGACTCGGTGCGCATGTTTGCTGGAGTTGTCTGTCAGACGCGTTGGAACGGACTCGGCAGATGAACCGACACATGTGGTGGTTCCAATACGTTGGGCGGTAAGTTGGATCAATATATGTGCCTATGTGAATGTATTGCGTTGTATGCTTCCAAAGCCCGCTACCCCCTTACATCATGTACCTTGCCCCAAGCCCGTGCCTAAGTAGTGTAAGGAAGGCTCGTGATACCGTCATTAATCAACGGTAGACAGGTTTAGGGGAGGAGTAGATGAGGATACTTGCGGTGAGGATGATGTTTAGGATTCCGACGATCGGGATTAGCGGAGTGGGGTGGGCGTGCAAGGCTTAGGATGGTGGAGGATGAGCGGGGATGAATGCATACATATGGGGGTGATGAGTGACGATAGGGATGGTGAGGGAGGGGAGCGAAGACTCAGGGGGATGATGCGCGATGATATCGCTGAGTATGTATAAGGTGTTCAGAAGGAGGGTTGAGGACGAGGGGGAATGAGGGGTGAGGGTTTGGAGGATAAGGGAGGATGGCTGGGGAATAGAGTAGGGGGGAAGGGTCGAAGAAGGGGGTTGACGTGGATGCCCGATGAAGAGGAAAACCAGATGCCTGAGGAGGATACGGATGAGCCATCGCAGAAGTGACAACGGGCAGAATTATGAATGAAATGGGCGGCTGGTGAGAGGGATTTGGGAGGGCTGACGAGGGTTGAGGACGAGGTTTGGTGACGATGCTGAAGCTGAAGGGGACGGGAGCAATGATGAGGACTAACGACATGGATCCCAAGAGGCTCCCAGAAGGCTCCCAAGAGGCATCAAAACTGCCCCCCAGAGGCCCCCGAGAGCCCTCCGAAGAGACCCCAAGAAGCATCCATGAGGACTCTGACGCACTGCCCAGGCGCACGGTGGCGGGATGGGCCGCAGGCCACTAGATAACAATGATGATACTAGTCATTAGCATCATCATCATCATCATCATCATCTTCTTCATCGTCGTCGTCATCATGTCATCATCATGGCCATCATCGACGTCATCATCACCATCATCACCATCATCAGCATCAGCATCATCATCATCATCACCACCATCACCATCACCAACATCACCAATACCATCATCATCGTCATCGTCATCGTCATCGTCGTTGTCGTCGTCTTCTTCCTCCTCTTCCTCGTCCTCCTCCTCATCGTCATCATCATGGTACTCGCCATCCCCCCTCCACGTCCATCCCACTTTGATGCGCATTGATCATTTTTTAAATTAGCACCGTGCTCACACGGCATTCCGCACGAGCGTGGGCACAAGATAACGTCGCGACCATGCGCCTGCAATGGTGCCAGACGCTAGCGTGATTTGCGTGGCGAATGCCTCTGGCACCGCTCCTTGCGCGTAGTCGCGTCATCATGGTGTGACCACGCGCGCGCGGTAACGTCGCGTGAGAACGGTCTCAACTTAAAAACCGTTTAATTTGCATAACAGGGTTGTCTCGACCACCTACGAAAGTTTAAACGACGCGGAACAAGTTTAAGCAAGGGCCCCATGGACGGCCCAGTTAGCACACGCCTCCGCCACGGCCCCAGAGTGCGCTTATCGCAGGAAGTCCAAAGACCCGGGCCCACCCAGACATGGGCCTCGAAAAGGAATCCGCTAAGACACTAGATGTTCCTGGGCTGAAGAAGGAGGAGGCCGAAGCGGAGGAGCGGTTAGCCTCGCCCCCGCTTGTCGGCGACGACATCCGGTTGTACCGCAGTGTGACCATGCGAGCATCATACTTAGCACCAGATCGGGCTGACATTGGAGATGCAGTAAAGAATCTGGCTAAGCACATGCAGAGCCCGAAGCAGGTCGACATGGCCAGGCTCAAGAGGCTGGCAAGATACCTGAAAGGAAGACCCCGGGTGGTGCAGGTTCTCCGCAGGAACAAGCACATCGACAGGGGTAGTCCTTTGCCCATCTTGGTCATGGTGGACAGCGACAACGCTGGCGACAAGATCAGCCGACGGTCTACTGTCGGGCAGGTCGTTTTCGTCGGCGGCCAGGTGGTGAAGCACGCTTGCAACCTGTTGCAGGTGGTAGGACTTTCCTCCGGAGAGAACGAGTGCTACGCCATCAGCGCCGGCGCCTGCACCGGATTAGTCATCCAAGGCTTGTTGGAGGACTGGCAGGCCCCATCTAAAGTCAAGGTGGTGTCGGACTCTTCCGCGGCGCGCGGCTTTGCTTCGCGCCGGGGCGTTGGGGAGCTCAAGCATGTTCAGACCCGCTACTTGTGGGTGCAGGAGAGGATCGTCATGCAGCACCTGGAGTTGGGCAAGATCGGCACGGCCGAGAACCGGAGCGACCTATTGACTAAGCCATTGGGTCGCAAGGAGATCGACGTCCACATGAAGGGTATCAACCAGGAGTACAGGAGCGGCAGACCGGCGAAAGGGTTGCTCCTGAAATAGAGGAGCGGCACGACGCCGAAGCAGCAGGGACGCGGGTAGCCCCGCTCCCTCTGGAAGCAGCAGGGACGCGGGTAGCCCCGCTCCCTCGGGAAGCAGGTTGCTCTGCTCCCGGCGCCCCCCGGGCAGGAGAGCAGTCTGAGGGGAGTCGCGGGTAGTTCCGCACCCCCGCCTTGACGAGCAAGCTGGCTGCGGGCAGCCCCGCGCTAGCTACACTTTTCTGCGCAGTGGTGGTCGCGCTGGATCGCCACAGCTCCGCTACCGGTAGTCGTAGGAGGTAAAGACCTCTCTCGGTTGCTCGCACTGTGAGCCAACCCAAAGGGTTCTCTCGCAGTGAGGAGGGGTGAAGAAATCCCCCTCCGTCGGACTAGCTGTGGATAGGTATGTAGGTAGATGGATGTAGTAGTGCAGCATAGCAGTAGATAGCAGTAGAATGCAGGAGAGAGCAGGGTAGTGTTGCATTGATTCATTGCTTATCTTCCACAGCCCCTTTCGGCGAAAAAGCATTTTCAGGTTGTCCTGATGGTTATCCTGGTGGTTGTCCCGATGGTTGTCCCGATGGTTGTCCCGATGGTTGTCACGATGGTTGTCCCGATGTTTGTCCCGATGGTTGTCCCGATGGTTGTCCCGATGGTGATCCCGATGGCTGTCCCGCTGCTTGTCCCGATGGTTTGTCCCGATGGTTGTCCCGACGGTTATCTTGATGGTTGTCCCGCGGGTTGTCCTGAGGGTTGTCCCGATGGTTGTCACGATGGTTGTCCCGATGTTTGTCCCGATGGTCGTCCCGATGGTTGTCCCGATGGTTATTCCGATGGTTGCCCCGATGGTTGTCCCGATGGAAAATGGTTGTCCCGACGGTTATCTTGATGGTTGTCCGGCGGGTTGTCCTGAGGGTTGTCCCGATGGTTGTCCCGATGGTTGTCCCGATGGTTGTCCCGATGGTTGTCCCGATGGTTGTCCCGATTGTTGTCACGATGGTTGTCTCGATGGTTGTCCCGATGTTTGTCCCGATGCTTGTCCCGACGGTTGTTCCGATGGTTGCCCCGATGGTTGTCCCGATGGTTGTGCCGATGGTTGTCCCGATGGTTGTCCCGATGGTTGCTCGATGGTTGTCCCGATGGTTGTCCCGATGGTTGTCCCGATGGTTGTCCCGATGGTTGTCCAAATGCTTGTCCCGATGGTTGTCCCGATGGTTGTCCTGGTGGTTGTCCCGATGGATACTGGTTGTCCAGATGGTTGTCCCGATGGTTGCCCCGATGCTTGTCCCGATGTTTGTCCCGATGGTTGTCCCGATGCTTGTCCCGATGCTTGTTCCGATGGTTGTCCCGATGGTTGTCCCGATGGTTGTCCCGATGGTTGTCCCGATGGTTGTCCCGATGGTTGCCCCCATGGTTTTCCCGATGGTTGTCCCGATGCTTGTCCCGATGCTTTTCCCGATGTTTGTCCCGATGGTTGTCCCGATGGTTGTTCGATAGATCGGGAAATATACTGATAGGTGGATAGGTAGATATATATATATATACAGAGAGAGAGCATGGATAGATGGATAGGTATGTGGACAAGTACATAGATGGACAGATAGGTAAATATATAGAAATATAGATGGAAGGTTCGGGGGTATAAGCGGAAGGTTGCCCTGATGGTTGTCTTGATAGGTAGGTAGGTTTTTAGATTGGTGGATGGTTAGGTTCGATAGGTGGATATATTGATTGATTGTTAGATAGATAGGTAGATTGATTGATGTGCCGACTCGATAGACAGATAGATTGATACATTGATGGATACATAGAAACTTTGATATATATATATAAAGATATAAAGATCTATACACCCCGCAATTGCGGATAAGAGTGAGGGGGCTCTTGGGCTGCCCGCTGGGGAAGATTGGGTGGGTCGCGGGTGGGTCGCGGGTGGGTCGCGGGGTGGGTCGCGGATGGGTCGCGGGGTGGGTCGCGGGTGGGTCGCGGGCGGTTTTGGGTGGGGACGACGCAACAAAAAAACAACAAAACAACAACAATAATCTTCGCCGTGGATCCCCACATCAGCCACGCACCCTGGGACAGTGAATGACCGTTCGGGCCCCCTCACTCTGGTATAGATTAGTTAGATAGAAGCAAGCGGAAGTAGGTGGTATGTATTTGCCCGCGCACTCTTTGGTCGCAGCAGGTGAGAGTCATCGAGCATCGACCGCCTCCCCTTCCCCCCAAAAAATCCTCCTTATCACCCGTAGGCTGGTCCTATCGGTATGTATGTATGTATGTATGTATGCATGTATGCATGCATGCATGCATGTATGTTTGTATGCATGTATGAATGAATGTGTGAATGTAGTTGTGTATGTTGGTATGTCTGTACGCATGCATGCATGTATGTATGTATGTATAGACATATATGGGGGGACCAGGTCCAGGGGCTCCCAGGCCGGAACCCCGACCACAAATGGGAAGACCGCGTTTATCCGCGCACATATCGGGAGCCCAAAATCGACGCCAAGGGCGATCAGACAGCTGTCAAGACGATCCACGGCGGCGTCGAGTCGTGCCAAGACGGCCTCCAGACCTTTCAGACGGCTCACTCGGAGCCTCCAGCGGCCCAAGTAACCTCTAAGACGCCCCGAGAGTGTTCCAGGAGGCCCTCCAAGACAGCTCCATGAAGCCAAAATCAGATATGTTCTTTAGGTCTGGAGTTTTTGTCCGAGTTCTCGCTTTCCGGGTTTCCGACAGCCCAAGGCGGCTCAGGAGGTGCCACAAGTTGCCCAGACACAGCCCAAGAGGCCTCCCAGAAAACCCTCAGAAGACCCAGGACAGTTCCAAGATACGCGAAGAGGGCCCCAAGACGGCCTAAGAAAGCTCCCAGACGGCTCGGCGGAGCCCCAAGATGGCCCCAACAGAGCCCCCAGGGCACTTCAAGATATCCCCTGGAGAGCTTCAAGACGGCCAAAGCACCCTCAGACGACCCAGAAGGGCCACAGTACGGCCCAAGAAAGCTTCAAGAAGATTCCCAAGAGGCCCTGAAGAGACCAGAAACATGGAATTGCTGTTAGTCTTTGGAGGTATGTAAGGTGTTCGCCCTTTCGGGCTTCCGACGCTCCATGACGGCCAAGGAGGCGCCAAAAGTCGCCCAAAGACGGCCAAAGAGCCCAAGAGGGCCCCGAGACGGCTTAAGAAAGCCCCAGGAGAGCCCCAAAAGGTTCCCAAGAGAGCCCCCAAGAGAGCACCGAAAGGTCCCCAAGAGAGCCCCAGGACGGTCAAACGCTCCAGAGACGGCACAGAAGGGCTCAGCGAGACGCTCAAAATCCATGGTGGTGACCTCCGTAGCCACTTGACCCAAGCAATTGATCCTCAATTACCTCATTGTTTGGCGTCACCGCAATGAAGAGGCCGGCCGCTGCGGATGCTTCGGCCACAGCGAAACAGAAGATTATGAGAAAGCCAGCCGCTGCGGACGCTACAGCCCCGGCGGTACAGAAAAAACCAGCAGCATCGATGTCAGCGATAGAGGCGGCTGTGGACCCAGACGCGAGAAAGGCTCTTGCGCCAGCTGAGGTAGAGGTCGTGCGGGGCGAGGCCTTGTCCATCTGCCGCAGGTTAGAGAGTGGGGAGCTGAAGGTCGCGGACTTGGGGAATTCGCCCGACACCAAGAGCTACGATCTCCTCCGAAATTTGGCGCCGAAGTGGCTCGCCTCCGAGAACCATCAGAAGGTCGTGCAGGACCTCCAAGAGTGCTACCCCGGGGACCCGGCATTTTCAGAGTTTGCGGGGATCGTTGCCTACGCGATCGACGGCGGTCCCGTGTCGCACAGGCAGATCTACAAGATCTTGTTCTCCGATGCAAGCGATAAGCGTTTTTTCTGCGTGGGTGTGGAGAATGGACATATGATCGGCGACGCTGCAAACCAATTTCGGGAGTTCCTGGAGACGAAGTGCCGCCCTGAGGACTTGAGAGAAGCCATGGCCAGCTCGCCTCTGAAGCTTCTGGAGAATATGTGGGTGGAGTTTATCGACGCCGAGGGTGGCTCGCATGCTTGAACCTTGCGATTGCAGGGACAGTTTTGATTGTAGACCCAGCGACAACAAAAGCGATATAAGATTGCTTCCATGTGTTGTTTGATGATTACAGTTGACTTTGCCACGATGGACACGGTGACCACGACATGCTGTTTTCCGCGACGGTTGGCTTTGCCACGACGGTGACCACGATGGACGATGGACACGATTGTTTTCCAGTTATGTTTGATGACGGTGACCGCGATGGACACTTGCTGCACCTGGTTTGGGGTTCTGTACAGGGATTATTTCTTTCCCGTCCTAAGTACATCCCAATAATTTAAGATAAGGGGGATGATGCCCGAGGAGCACCCCCTAGGGTTGACGATATCCAGGTTCCTGAGAGACTCTCCCAGATAATTCGTCGGAGGGCACCTCACTACCAGTAGAGGAGTTCGGGGGCTTCCCCTGAAAATTCGGCAGGAATTTAATGACGTCGTTCGACGACTGCACCGATTTCGCGGTAAGCGGAATCAGCGATAATGCAGTTTACGTGGCGAAATAAATCATAAGCGGGCTGATGCCCCGGAGAGTCTTTCGGTCTTCACGAGACTGCGGGAGACTCTCTTGGACAGCCCTTCGGAGTGCACCTCTACTGGCGAAGGATTTCGAGAACTCCCCTGGACAATTCGCCTTTTGGGCCTGCTGCCTGCGCAGGAGGCTTTGTGGCGAGCGTCGCCCCCGAAAATCTTGATTTGGTTCCTGCCCAAAGTACGAGGCTTCGTTGAACAAATAAAACGGACAATCGAAGCATACCACTTCGAGGGCGCCTCGAGCCAAGCTCGTGCAAGGCAGAGTTTGGGGAGTTTCCGGGTCGGCCGGATCTGGCCGATGTCTAGGTCGATCGGTCTCGTCCCATTGCTGATGTTGCTGAGAAGTAGCCCAAACATGCACACCGAACCCCATTTCGTACCCTGTTTTCGAATCTCACTGAATTTGGCACTTGCTAGCTCGCGACGCGTCCTACCCCCAACCGCAGTTTTCTGTTTTGCTTGCATTGTTATGCTTTGGTTTTCCGTCCGCCAGGAGCCACGAATTTAGTTTTGGATGTCAATGTTATGTTTGTTCAACGGATCCCCGTAATTTGTTTCCCGCTGGGTGCGCCGTGGTAGTCAGAGCTCAGCACCTGACAGTTTGTCAAATCTCATTGGGTTCAGATGGCCAGATAATACCACGTGACAGATGGCAAAATTCAACTTCGACGCCAAAATGTTGGCATCACACACAGACACGTTTGGAGGTCGACCGGGACTTCGGATTTCCGATTGGGCTCACGCACCAGAAAATTCGCAGCCAGAATCTTGGCACCACACCCGCACAGACCCGCCGAAAGCTCTTTGTGGACGGACGGTGTTGTTCTGTTCTGGGAGCTCCATCGAAATCAGAAGGTCTTGGTCGACCTCCATGCGATATTTGATGGCGGTGGTGCCAATTGTTCGGTTGCGTTCAAAAGTTGCCCAGGCCCCAAAAACCGAAAAATGCCTTGGGCACCCAACGATCAGCATGCAAACCATTGCCACGAACCCACTCCCCGCACGAGGGCTTTCTAAAATGTGCAGCTCATCCGAAAGCACGTAGAAGCCAGGTCAAAGGGCCAGCGGCAGTCATCGCCACCCTCGAAGACATTGGTTGGCAACCTCTCAAGCCATTAACATGGCAAGACCCCAAAGGTCAAGAGTGGGAAATTGATCCTACTCTGAAAGAGATACTACCCATGGTCACTGAGGCCATATATGCAACGGTCGAATTCCAGCTTTGGACCCAGGCCAGCCTGCATTGCAATGGCCAAGGTCTTGAGTATGGGGCCGACCTCACAATGCCACCCTAACTGGTCCGCAAACTACGTAACGAGGATCCCTAAGAAGCAGGCGTGCTCGAAACGATCATGCAAAGAGCGGGGGCCCAGAGGCCCGCAAAGCGGAGGCAGGCCTCTACAGAAATTTCATTTGCAAACACTGCGGCCTTCTGCCCAGCACCACATTTCGCCATTTGTGGGAATGCCTCCACTTGAGACGTGGACCCAAGCTGGAGGATCACACCTTCCAGATGTACCAAGCCAAAGCCATCTCACAAGAAGCGGAGAAAGGCCGAGTCCTGTGGACCAGGGGTATCATGCTGGCGACATGCACCATGTGCATGTTCTCGGCCACGAAGGACTGCTGGCTGAAGTACTTCCCTCCAGGGGCCGACATCATCGAATTGCCCGAGGTTGCCTTCGCCGATATTGACGGCAGTGGAGAGGAGTACGGATCTGATTCACGCCTACGACGGTGTGGATGGGGGTGGTGTTTATTCTGGGTCCGACACCACTGCAAAGGCAGTCGGACCTGTAGACGGCAAGCAAACAGCACCCCGATCCGAATTGCAAGCAGTACTCCACCTACTGCAACATACGACGGGCAATCTAACGGTACACACCGATTGCAAGCATGTATGTGACCGGTTGCAGCCCACTGCCAAAAACCCGAAACAGCGAAAATTGGCATGAAGCACGTGTCATTATGCTTGCAAGGCATGGCACCCTCGCCTTCCAGAAGGTCAAGCTCACTTCTCGAAACAAGAGGCCGTAGAGCTAGGCTTCACAGAAGAAGCTTTGGCTGCCCATTACGTTGCAGATCAGTCGGCAGATAGTGCAGCAGATACCATTACCCATGATTTTGTTGGCGTCGGCGTTGGCCACCAGGCCGACCAGAAAGCGGAGGCAGTCCGTGACCCACTGGCACCGGTCCGCGGGCACGTCCTCAGAGACCACGAGCCACCAGCCAAGGAGCCAAGGCACACCAAGCCCAGCAGGCGCAAAGAGAGCTACAGGCTGTCGCAACCGCACAGGGGCACCTCCTCCTCCTCCTCCTCCTCCTCCTCCTCCTCCTCCCCCTCCTCCTCCTCCTCCTCCTCCTCCTCCTCCCCCTCCTCCTCCTCCTCCTCCTCCTCCTCCAAACAGAGCCCTATTGGCTCGAGGCTGCCTGGCCCAGTGGTGCGCAAGACCTGGCCAAAAGAGCCCCCGAAGCTCGTGGCGCGCGTCGCCCTCCCGCCCCTGGCGCGCCACCGGTCGCGGTGGCGTGGCCCATCCGCGAGCCGTCGTCGAAGATTCGGAGAGGCAGCACGGCTCAAACAAGCGGAGGAGTGCTTTGCCACGGCATGCACACCGCCTACAGTGGGCCCAGGACATCATCTCAGATGCATCTGCTGCCTGCACGTATGCCTTACGTGCGGCAGCTTGGGCCCAGATGCCCGCCCTCAACGCACGGCCACGTGGTGCATGTACGCCACCCACGGAGAGAGGGCAGACAATCCGGAGCAAGATCAAACGAGGCCTAGGCGTTCCGGGCTACAAACATTGGCCAGATGGCGCACGCTTGCCCCCAAGGCCTGCAGGAAAACAAGGAAGCCCAGGTAACCGACTCAGCCGCTAAGTGGCAATTCCGTCACTGCTCAGGTACCGTTTCATGGTCGCCTCCAGGCCGCAATTGGGAGTACAGTTTTTTCTTTGGGTATTTAGTTATGTTCTCCTTTCAGCCTCAAGGTGATTCGACTTGGATCCAGGGAGTCTTATCCGCCCCAACAAAAAATACCCTGGGCAATTCTTACACTCGGACGGCCCTGGGAAATGATCATGCAAATCTGAGTTTTTTCAAGAGTCGGCCTCAGGTGTGGTCTCCGCGTTTGAAACTTGAATCCGTGGTATTACCTTTTCAAGTCGAGTCTCTTTGCGGAGCTTGCGAACCTCAGTTTTCGAGTCCTGCAAACAGTCGCAACTCTTGCACAACTCAAGAAAATTATGTTTCCAGGCTCCGAGACAATCGCAGGGAGATCCGGCCTGAAAGTTTAGCACCATGGATAGAATTGTCAGCCCCAGAGGCCTCATTTGAGACCGATTACGAAACAAAACTCATGTTTGTGTGAAAAGTGCCCAGGCCAGATAAGCGTAACCAATCCCTGGGTGGGTCCCCAGTCGATTGAAAATTGAAATATTCAACCGGCGACTTCAACATTTGAGTTCAAAACCTCGGAATTGAATTCGGTCGCCGCCACTTAAATATTGGAGTTGGAAGCCCCAAATTGGAATATTGAAAAGGTTCAATTCTGGACTCGTTTTTGAAATGTTGAAATTTTGAAATTTTAAATCTCAATATTGAGTTTTAGCTCAATATTGGGTTGCAAACCCAATATTGGGTTTTGAACTCCAATAATGAACTTACGAGGCCGTAGGCCGGGCCAGAGGAGAAAAGGGAAAAGCTCGCACTTCCCAGGGGAGAGACAACGGGCAGAGTGGGGCATGGGGAGGAGGTGGGGGAGGAGGAGGAGGCCGTAGCTTGAAAAGCACGCCCCGCCCAAAACAGTCACCCGAGGCGTTTGGTGACTGTTTTGGGCCGGCCCGCCCGGAACAGTCACCAAGAGCCTTGGGTGACTGTCTTGGGTGGGGCGGAGCCCCGCGGGCGGGACATTGAAGCGCGACGCAGGTCTCAGGGTAGCAGTCGTTTGCTCTAGCGGGCCGGTCGGGTCGGGCGCGCGGGACATTAAAGCATAACGCAGCTCCCTAAGTAGCACGCGCTTGCCCTGGCAGACCCGTCGGGTCGGGCGGGCGGAACATTAAAGCACGACGCAGCTCTCGCGGTAGCAGGCGCTTGCTCTAGCGGGGCAGTCGGGTCGGGCGGGCGGGACGTTAAAGGTTGATGCAGCTCTCGAGGTAGCACACGCTGGCCCTGGCAGACCCGTCGGGTCGGGCGGGCGGGACATTAAAGCACGACGCAGCTCTCAGGGTAGCAGACGCTTGCTCTAGCGGGCCGGTCGGGTCGGGCGCGCGGGACATTAAAGCATAACGCAGCTCACTAAGTAGCACGCGCTTGCCCTGGCAGACCCGTCGGGTCGGGCGGGCGGTACAATAAAGCACGACGCAGCTCTCGAGGTAGCGTGCGCTTGCTCTAGTGGGCCGGTCGGGTCGGGCGGGCGGGACGTTAAAGGTTGACGCAGCTCTCTAAGTA